GCTTTCCAAACGCAAACCACCGTGTGCAAAAAAAGGTGGCAAAGACATGAAATACCTAGAACTGCTACGGACCCTCTCTCAAGAATAATGTGATTTAATACAGTAATACAAATTGGGCATCCAATAGTAGGATGTTTGTGAATTCCATGAAACCTAATTTAGGGAGAGAAGAAAACTGAGTTTAGTCTCTTTTTTCAATGTGTGACCCCTTCCAGATACCAAATTACTATTAATGTTTGCATTTCTAAAATAATATGTGCATTTAAAAAATAAACTTTATGTCAGAGAGGCTTTAAATTCACAGAAAGATTATGAAGATTGTACAGAGAGTTCTCATACACCCACACCTAGATTTTCCTATTGTTAACATCTTACCTTAGTATGGCATAGTTGTTACAATTAATGAACTGATATAATACGTTATTATCAACCAAAGTCCAAAGATTTTCTTCGTTTTCACTTAATGGCCCTTTTCTCTTCCAGGCTCATACCCAAGATACTGTAACATTACATTTTAGTTGTCATGTCCCCTTAGGCTCCTCTTGGCTCTAGCAGTTTTTCACTTGATCTTAGCCAAAAGGCCGAGAAGCGATTCTAGCAGTTTTTCAGATGTTCCTTGTTTTTGATGATCTTGACAGTTTTGAGATGTGTTTATCAGATATTTTGTGGAATGTCCCTCCACTTGATTGTGTCTGATGTTTTTCTCATGTTTATACTGGGGTTGCATTTCTTGAAAGGAAGACCACAGAGGTGAAGTGTCGTTTACATCATATCATATGAAAGGTACATCCTATCAACATGACGTGACTTACCTCTGTTGATGTCGACTTTGATCGCCTGCCTGAGGTAGTGTTTGGTAGTTCTTGCCACTGTAAAGTTAGCCTCTGCTTCCTCTCCATACTGTGTTTTATGGAAGGAAGTCACTGTGTCCAGCCCACACTTAAGGAGGAGGAGATACTCGTATTTTTCACCTGTTTGAGAAGTATCTACATAAACTATTTAGAACTCTTTGGGGCAAAAGATTTGTCTCTTCTTTCCCACTTATTTATTGATTCAATTATTTATATTAGTATAGATATTTATTTTATACTTCGGGTTATAATTCAATACTACTTTATAATTCAGTACTACTTTACTTATTTGTTATCCAGATTGTTTCAACTTTAGTCATTGAGACCTCTTTCAGTTGTCTCCTGTGTCTCTTTAAGAATCCCATCATTGTGCTGTTTTTTTTAGCACTTCTGTCCTTTCTAGTCCAAGACAATGCTCCAGACCAGCGGTCAGCAAACTGCGGCTCGCGAACCACATAAGTCTCTTTGGGTACGTTCCGTCTCAAAAGTCTGCCAGCCCCTGGAAGAGCCAATCCTGTCCCTCACAACAATTTAAAAATTATTTGAAGAGCCAGCTGAGTGGCTTAGTTAAGAGCTCGCTCAAGAGTGCAAGCTCTGAGCAACAGGGTCGCCAGTTCAATTCCCAGGCCAAGCTGAGCTGCCGCTGAGCTGCCAACAGGTGGCAGGATGGCTCAGCTAAAAAAAAAAAAAATAAAAAAAAATATATATATATATATATATATATATATATATTTGAGAGCCATAAATATATTTTTCCATCATCACCATTATGTGAATAGTGTCCTTTAAAATTTTTATAAATGAAACTGATAGTTTTATTTTCATTTTTGATTTTACTTCAGAGCCACATTTATGTACCCAAAGAGCCGCATGTGGCTCACGAGCTGCAGTTTGCTGATCCCTGGTGGCTCTTCTGTCTCAAAAGTTTGCCATACCCCGCTCCAGACTTATTTAAAATATTTCCTGCACAATCCTAGCATCAGGCATTTCTCCAAGGAGCTCTGATTCTTTCTACTGGAGAACTGGATTTAGAAACTGAGACCTGGGTGTTAGAGGTGCTCAATATGGACACTTACAAAGTAAAATTAGGGGCCGGCTGAGTGCTCAGTTGGTTAAGAGCGCGAGCTCTGAGCAACAGGGTCTCCAGTTCAATTCCCACATGAGCCAGTGAGCTGCGCCCGAGCTGAGCTGCCGCTGAGAGCGTGCGCTCTTAGCAGCAAGGTTGCTGGTTCGACTCCCACCCCCACAACTAAATTGAAAGCGGCGACTGGACTTGGAGCTGAGCTTGCGCCCTCCACAACTAAGATTAAAGGACAACAACTTGACTTGGAGCTGATGGGTCCTGGAAAAACACAATGTTCCCCTTCCCCAATTTCCCAACACAGTTCCCCTCTACAGTTCCCCATAAAAAAAAAATTTTTTTAAGTAAAGAAAAGAAAATTAACATTTTAAAAAAGGTAAAATTCTTTTTAAAAGGTTTATAAGTAAACAAACAGTCCATTCCTTTCCATAAAATTTAAACTTTGGAGTTTTTTCTCCTGTCTTTTCTGCCCCTCCATATTACTAATAATGTTTTTATACTGGTATTGTTTGATTTATCCGTCTGAGGCATTCTCCTGTAAGGGTGACTAGGGCTTGCCTTTCTTGCCACCCCACCTGACTTCCTCTCTGCCTGGCTGTCCAATGTAGTCATATCACAATTTTGTGTTGAACCAGTGGTCAGAGTTTACATTATTATGACCATATAATTATCTTTTTCATATTGAGCAAATGTACTATAATTACATATTCTTATATAATATTTTATCTTTCCTGGTTATCATAATTGACTCATTTCTTCCTTTTCTTAATATTCCAAATGTCCATCAAAATTTAACTCAAATATTCCAACCCGTCAAAGACCTATCAAACCTATTTTCAAAATATCTAAATGTATGAGATCATGTATTAATTACACTCACCACCACCACCCAAAACCTCTGTCCTTCTGCTCCATTCTGGTTTGGTTGTTATGGTCACTAGTTTCCAAAGATGCCTCCCCTTCATTTTATAGAAAGCCAGAGCCTAGGTAAGAATTCATCTACTTTGAGACTGCCGTACTGTAATATTGTTAGGAAGCCAAGATGCCATGTAGAAAGACCATATGGAGAGAGAGACGGCTGCCTGTCCAGCCCCCAGCTTTTCATTTTATCAATTTTCTAGACATGTGAGTGAAAAAGCCATCTTGGATGTTGTCTTTCTATCTATTTCAGGTTGGAGACTTTCCCCAAATGTCTGGTGATCCTTGGTTGTCTATTTATATTTAAAGTGACACACTAAATACTAGCTAGGACTGCTGCATGCATGACTGAGGCGCATGCATTGGTGACATTATTGAAGGGTGATTGGGTGCTATTGTTGGGGGATGCTGAAATATCAATATCTGTAAGTATTTTACTAGGGCCATTCACTACATCCAGAAATTAAATCTCCTCATTTCCTGGGACTAGCATCCCACAGTTCAGTGGGCATTCAGTGGGAAGACTTTCTCTCAATCCCTCTATCTTCATTCCTTCCTCTTTTTTTTGCCTTCTGTAAGTCCAGAGCCTCACCCAATATTTGTATTTTCACCATTTCCTCCAGCATGAGCAATGTTGAATGTTTGAGGTTTGTTTGGCTGGTTACAATCAAAAAAGGGTTTTTAAAAAAATGTAGAACATTTGTGCATCCTCAAATTCTTTCTCTGGGGCTGGGTTGGAACTGGCCACTGGTATCACTGGTGTGATTGCTGCATTACTCGAAGGGTTACAGGTCAAATGAAAATATAGAGATTAAAAGCATGGGCTCTTGGGATCAGGGAGTCTTAAGCTTGAGCCCTGATTCTCCAACTTTTTAGCTCTGACTATCATTTATGTAAGTCTCTTAAGCCTCAATTTCCTCAACTGTTTAATGTGAAGAATAACTATTTCTTAGGCTTGTAAGAATTAAATGATATATCGGTATCACATAGCAGAATGCCCGGCATAGAATTAAGCATAATAGTAACTAATAATGGTGAAATAAATCTGTTTTTAAAAAAACACACCTGGGGCTGGCTGAGTGGTGTGTTAGTTAAGAGCTGGCTTGGGACACCAGAGGGCCCCAGTTCGGATCCCACATATGAGGGCCAGTGACACTGCCCTCCATAGCTAAGATGCTGAACAACAGCTCAACCTGGAGCTGTGCTGCCATGAGTCACCGGAGACTGCGTAGGCTGCAGCCCCTGTGGCAGTGGGTTGCCATGGGCTACCGTGTGTAGCCAGCAGCCAGCGTGAGCGGCCAGCAGCCGCAGTGAGCGGCCGTCCAGAAGCTGGTAACTGATCTGCCTCGCCCGGGAAGAGCGCAATGATGGTGTCAATTTGGGCCAGTGAAGCAACGTCCTCTACAACTAGACTGAAGAACAAAAGGACAGCAACTTGTCTGTTCCCCTGCCCCCAATTCCCCAATAAAAATCTTAAAAAACAAAACAAAACAAAAAAAAACCACATCTGGTTGGTGAGCATTGATTTGGTTCCCCTCTAACTGGTTCTGTGTTCCTGGATAAACTGTTGACTCCACAGAGTCCAGAAGGGCTGTAAATGGCATCTAGTTCAAGCCCTATAATCTGGTTCATGAATTATCTTTAGTGCTTTTCCTCATTCAGTGACTTCACTAACAAGTGTTGGAATTGGGCTGAGATCTCGGCCTTGTTTTTCCACAGTATGCTTTCCCTAGTGAACCTCTTCTTTCCTTGCCCCGGAAACTTTCCTTTGGCCCCTATGAGAGGTACGTGTGTGAACAACTACCAGTGGGGAGAGTCTAATTGCATTTTATTACAAGCTGCCCAGCAGCCAGGAGGACTGCTGCTTATGCCCAGGTACATGCTTGGAAGCTCACGCATATGTAGGTAACTCCCCAAAGGCAGGGGCAAAGAAATCGTCTACGCCCCAGCCATCACTCCCCCATTTGCACACACACACTAGTGTCCAGGGGGAAAGTGCTCAGCATTTTATCCTACATCCCAGAGTGAGAGAGGCCATTCAGGATGGGGGAAGGGAAGATTTTTGTGACAAAAAGAGAAATGAAACCAACATGTCCCACCCCGTCAGCACTAACTGGAATATAAGACAGGGACCTTGGGCAGACAGACAGACTCCTGGGGTCTGCCAACAGCCAAAATGTCCAAAGGGCCTCTCATTCTCTGGGTGCTGATTGAGCTGTGGCGGCTTTATCTGAGTAAGTGTCTGAACCCTTCCGTGCAGGCATTCCTGCAGGACTCGGCATCCTGGGATGGATCTCCGTGACTGATCAGGCCTCAGTAAAGCAGAAGCCCACTTCATTCCTGCATCCCCTCCCCAACCCTCCGCCCCCCACCCAGGGTTTCTTCTTTGGAGGGTCTCTTTCCTTCCTGTTACGCTGGGTTTATCCTAAGACTGGTTTGGGGGCGGTTAGGATGGGGCAATTTGTGTTTATGTGAGAAATGGCAATTTAAGAAGAAACAGAAATCAGGGGTCAGATGAAATGGGGAAAAGAAATGTCCTCTGCAGCCAGAGCCAAGGGGAATTTGTTCTGGTAAGAGCTCTTATTGTAATTCTTTATTTTTCTCTTTCTTTTCAGGAATTTTTGTTTGCTTTTTGTTTTATATTGCTGGGGATGAGGCTTCAAGGTGAGGTTTCTTTCTGCACATTGTTTCCAGGTTTTGGACTATGCAGATGTAAGCCTCGGTTTGGGCCAGTTGAGACCTTGGCATCCTGGTGGTGTAGGGCAGAATGCTCGGGCCTGAACTGCAGCTGTGTCTCGGTCACGAGCCATTGACACTGGGACCCTGTCTAAATTGCTTTGGCTCTTCCATGTATGGAGTAAGGAACCTGGATAAGACCAGTTTTAGCAATCCATGATTCTAGAACTAGACAATACCTCATGTCCCTTGCAGTTTTAAAAGTTTGTAGTTATTTGGGCAAGAATCTGTCAAATGTGCTGCATGAGAAAATACTACATTCCAAGGAAAATAACGGTGTTCCCGTTACCTGCCAAGCCGTGGTCATGCTGTCCTTTCTGTCTTTCTTTCCTCTCTAACTCTGTGCATCTGCAGGTGTCCTCCTAAATCAGGCTTTTCCTGAGCTTTCAGGACCGGTTTCAGTGTTTCTGCTATGAGTTCCTGTCCTCCCTGGGGTCCCTTCATTGAAACCTTGTCACCCTATAGTAATTGCTCACTGAACTGCTCCTCTCCCCAGATACTCTGTAGCAGTTAATGCAATGAAAGTAGTCCCGGTCACTTTGTTTAACAATGGTTTTTAAAAAGTTTTATTAGTTTTTTTTTGGGTGACATTGGTTAACAACATTATATAAGTTTCGAGTGTATATTTCTATAGTACCTCATCTGTGTATTGCATTGTGTGCAAAAATTGAGTATCCTTCCTTCACCATATATTTGACCCCTTTACCCTCTTCAATCCCCCCCCCCCTCTGGTAACCACCATACTGTTACCTGAGTTTGTTTGTTTTCTTAGTTCATTTGTTGCTTTGTGTTTTATATCCCACACATGACTGAAATGGTATGGTTCTTGTCCTTTTCCATGTGACTTATTTAGTTTAGCATGATAGTCTCAAGATTCATCCATGTTGTTGCAAAGGGCAGTATTTCATCCTTTCTTATATAAGGCTGAGTTGTATTCCATTGTATATATGTACCACATCTTCTTTACCCAATCATCCACTGAAGGACACTTAGGTTCTTGATCAACATTTTTAATGGTCTTTATCTTGTCCTGGGAACTTGAGGTGTGGAGGGTGTTGTTATGTTGAAAGTTGCTGGAGTCCAAGTCCACATTTCCTGCTATTGGCCGGACACTGATTGAGCTGCTGATTGAGCTAGGGTGGCTTCTTCAGTCCTACCTGAAGGAGTCAGCACCTGGTGAACTGTTTGTTTTCCATTTGTCCCTTTTCTAAAACATTCAATTTAGAAGAGAATTACTGAGGCTCGATCAGAGCTGCACATGCTCTTAAAAGATGCCTAATTGAACCCTTCATTCTGTAGATGGTGAAACTGAGACCCAGACTGGGGAAAGGCCTTTCTGAAGGTCACCAGCTAGAGAAGGAACCAAGCTGGCACCAGAACCTAGGTTGGACCCACCGTCCTGGGTAATTCCCGAAAAGGGGGATTGATTTGATACCAATGATTCTTTTGCTCCAGGGTGCTCCTTTAACTGGAAGGAACAGTTTCTTGTCCTGCTTCTAAATTCTGAAGCGCTCGGTTACTTGTACTAATAGTTAATTCCATGTGGCATTTGATGATGCTTCATCTCATGGAAATCTTAGAAACCCTTTCTGAGGCGAGTTGTTATCAATCCCCCTTTGTCTTAATGATGATAATGAGGTCAGGAGCATTGTGGCTTTCCTCCAGGAACACAAAAGCAGTAACTGGCAGAATGCGATTTACAATGTAAGCCTAATGGGAGTTTTTCAGCCACACCAAATTGCCTGCTTCCTTTTTTAACATGAATTTTTAATCAGATGAGTAATATAGAAATACAGAAACACCCTCGGTGAAAAAAATAAAAATGTTATAAAGCTAAAATCTCTTTTGACGATTACCTCCAACCCCCATCTTTTTCCAGCGATCACAGAGGTGACTGATGCAATGAATTGAGTGTATGTCCCACCAGATACTTTTCTATGCATTTACCTTCATATGCCTGTGCCCACCAACAAAATGCAAACTGTTTTATCAAATGGTTTTATATTTTAAGTGTTGCTTTGAAATTTGCCCTTTTCATACATTAATAAGGCTTGGAGTTTTCATGCCAATTGATACAGATCTAATTCTAATAATCTACACATGATGCCATGGAATTAATAAGTCACGGTTCTGCAACTCCCATATACACATTGTTCATTCCATTTACATGTGTATGAGGACTGCCGTAAACATTTGCAAATAGGTTTTCTTGTGCACCTGTGTTTTTCTAGGGTAAATAAAATGAAATTGCTAAGGCTTCACTAGCACACACACATGTTAAATATTAACAGACGCTGTCAAATTGCCACACAGTGTGGCTACTATTCCTACCCCATATCACTGCAGTTTATTTTGGCTGTTTTTCCTTAGGTCTCTGTCTGGCCAATACTTGATATTATCAGCATTCCAATTTTTTTCCAGTTGAATAGGTGAAATTTACTGGCCAGTCACATTTCCTTACAGAATTGCCTGCTCTGCCCTTTTCCAGTTTTTCGATTGGGTCTTTTCTTATTGAGTAGTAGAATGCCTCCTTCTATGCTACAATACTTAAGAAAACAAACTGATGACTCTCCAATAGAAATAATTCTTACATAGTTTTTAAATTAATTTTCCAAATATTCATAGGAACAAGCTCATATTTTCAAAGTTATGAGTTTCGGTCACGTGTTCTGTGTTGCTCACGCAGCTGAGGGTGATGACAATGAATTTCGTATCCTTTCCCCTGGTTTCATGGTGGGCAAAGTGGCATTTTAGAACCTGTGAAACATTTCCACTGTGGCAAAGTGAAGACACTGTGCTTTCAGGGAAGGCTCCAGGCTGATCTGAATTTGGAATGACCTTCATCTCGATTGCCAATCATGAAAACCCAGGAAGCACATCCTTTTGCTCACTCTCTGGGTGCCTCTTAGGGTTCATGCTCACCGTCTCCTAGAGAGGGATATGGGGACGTTCCTGACACTCGTCTGGGAGGAACAGATGACTGCAGGCCACGTCTCACACGACTTAGCTAAAGGGGCCAACAAAGTTAGTGAGCAGAGCGTCTCATGGGGCTGGGGTACCATGGGAAAACAATAAGCAGAGACCCCCCCGGCACCCAAGAGGAAGCTGGATATAGTTCTGATGCTCTGGAGTTTCAGCCTGCTTGGCTGTCACTTCAATAGCATTTTTTTTGAGAGCAACCACTGAGGTTGAGTTAAACCAGTGGACTTAATATTTGCAGCAGTGAAAATGTTTTACAGAATATCAGAGAGGGATGTCCCCTTAGAAGAGCTTGTCCAGTGTTCCTCAAACACTGGGTGAGTAGCCAATGACATTAGAATGGCCTGAAAGACTTGGTTATGTCCACTTCCATGGGCTTTGGCCTCAGAGATTCTGACTCAGGGTTGGCCAATAAAATATGTATTTTTAACAGGCTCCCCAAATCATGCTGATGAGCAGCCAAAGTTGGGAAATATGGATACTTCATTTTAGAAATGGTGACACCTTTCTTCTCAGCCTCTAGCATTGCTGTGTGTCACAGCTGCCATTCTATATCATTTCTGTGGTCCCTTTCATTCTAACATTAAAAAAAGTCTTCAAACCACACCTGACTTTCTATTGTCTAATGACAAATAAATGGTCTAGAGCAGGGCTCAGCAAACCGCGGCTCATGAGCCACGTGCAGCTCTTTGGGTACGTTCCGTCTCAAAAGTTTGCTGACCCCTGGAAGAGCCAATCCTGTCCCTCACAACAATTTAAAAATTATGCAAGAGCAATAAATATATTTGTACATAATCACAATTATGTGAATAGTATCCTTTAAAAATTTTATAAGTGAAACTATGAAAGTTTTATTTTTATTTTCAGTTTTACTTCAGAACCACATGTACGTACCCAAAGAGCCGCATGTGGCTCGCGAGCTGCAATTTGCTGACCCCTGGCGGCTCTTCCGTCTCAAAAGTTTGCCGACCCCTGATCTAGAGAAAATTAATTTCTATTTCCAGTACCAAAAGGAGAGAAGGACAATGGGATACAGTCCGACAACCTATCTTCCTGCCATAGCACTCTATGGGTTGGAAGACAGACAGAGACCCATTTGAGGGATTCAAGTCAGAAGCACATGATCACTACTTAGTGAGATACAGTCGGTAGAGTGATGTTTTGGGACCTGTGTATATGAGTTAGTGGAATTGAGTTAAAGGGTCAGAGTTATTCATTGGTGAGTTTATTGGCTTATTGAATGGTAAGGATGATAAAAGGATGTGGAGTTAGGAGCTCAGCTGCGGCAAAGGGCACTTCAGAAGTTACACTAAAGGGACATACACGTTACAGCTCTCTTCATCTGCCTGGAAGCATCTGTCTGCACAATCCCTGTGCAGCATATCTGAGAGATCTGAGTACCACGCAAGTATCGTTTTCTCATCCTTTCTCACAGCTCCAGCTGCATCAGAGACGGTCATGACAGGGTTTTTGGGTCAGTCGGTGACTTTGCCCTGCACGCACTCGTCGTGGTCTCATGACAGCAATAGCATGTGCTGGGGCAAAGGCGAGTGTCCCAACTCCAAATGCAATGACGAGCTTCTCCACACCGATGGGACGAAGGTGCTCTCGAGGAAGTCATCCAAATATGCACTTCAGGGGACTATCAGGAGAGGCGACCTGTCCTTGACCATCCTCAACACCAACAGAGGTGACGAAAGCGTGTACTGCTGCCGCATAGAGGTGCCCGGCTGGTTCAATGATGTGAAGAGAAACATTCGTCTGAAGCTAGTAAAAGGTGAGCACAGGAAGGGACTGGTGTCTGTGGAAGAAGGGATTCAGTGGTTAATGTAGGCAGTGGATCCAGTGGGTGGCATTGGAGAAGCTTTAGCTCCTTAAGCAATGAGTGGGCGGATGAAATCTGTAAGGCCTTCCTCTGATTAGAGGAGCCACGGGATGGAGCAAATGCCCACAGGGGCCAAGAAGACCACAGAAGCGAGTGAGTGGGGCGTGGCGGGTGAGGGAGGGAATTACAGGAACAATCTACAGAAGGCAGCTGCTGCTGACCTAGGGGGCTGCTGTCGTGCAGAAATTCGGGCCCAGTGTTTTCAGATGTGGCAGTTTTTATGTGAGCTATGCTGATTTTTGTGTGGTGGTAAATATTTCAAAATGTAGAAAAACATATACTGTATAACTGAAGTGAGTCCATGGGTCAGCTTTAGCCCATGGGCCAGTAGTTTGCAACTTCTGGCAGCGGGGAAAGGGTGTGGGGTTTGGAGACGCTCACAGCCGTTTTCAGGGGTTCTTTCCTTCTGTTACTATCAGTTGCTTTTGGTGAAATTTGGAATGTGGCGGAACTCATAAAAGATTTGAGCTGCATGAAGGGCAGCCTATGGTTGACTGATGCTATAACAATAACCACCTTTCCTCTGTCTGAAATGGAGCCTTTCAAAGTAAGCCCTGTGTTCAGCTTGCTTCAATGATGGAGGGCTCTTGGGCTCCATACCTAACTGGATGAGCATCTTGGAAGCCAGGGTGTGGATATCCACACGCTTAACGAGCTCTCAGGTAACTCCACTGCATGCTGACATTTGAGAATTGATGTGGATGCTTCTAATTACAGAACTTTCCTACACGTTTGTATATTTTTCTCTCAAAACAACTTGATGAGGTAGAAGTTACTACTCTTCTGATTTATTGAAGTTGAATGATGCCAGTCCAAGTCTTCTCTTTTCAAGCCTGGTAAACAGCTATTATTTTACAAAATACCTGTTGACCTTAATACTCTATGGGGTCATTTCTAAGTTCACTCGAAACTAATGGTGTCTTTCCGGTCCAGTAGAGTTCATGGAAATTTGGCATATTCGAAAGGGTGGTATCTGTAAAATAAGGGAGGCTAATGAACCCAAATTCAAATGTTTAGAGGGTGAGTTGTGCTGGCACGAACCAATCTCTAATATCTGAAAGACTACATCGTCACCCTATGTTGCATACTTTGGGCCTAGTTTGTTTATTTATTTATTTATTTATTTTATTATTTATTTTTTTTTAGCTGAGCCATCCTGCCACCTGTTGGCAGCTCAGTGGCAGCTTAGTTCGGGCCGGGAATCAAACAGCTGTTGCTCAGAGCTCACATTCTTGAGCGAGCTCTTAACCAACTGAGCCCCTCAACCGGCCCCCTAGTTTTTTTTTTTTAGATTTTAATTTGATTTGATTTGGAAAGAATACCTAAGGCGAGTCTACCACCTTAACAAATTTTCAAGTGTACACTACATTATTGTTAACTGAATGTCTATGGTTATGCAGCAGATCTCTAGAGTTTATTCATCTTACTTGACTAAAATTTTATGTTTGGGCTCACTTGTGATGCAGTCGCCCATTTACTCATTGATGTTTTTGGAACACCTACTATGTGATCAACATTGTGCCAGGTATGAGATTTGTACAAGAGAACAAAATAAATGCCAGATTTTCCCTCACGGAGCTCACCGTCTAGTGGGAGAAGCAGACATTAAACAATAACCGTCAAATAACTGTGTAATTATGAAGTGCCATGAATACTGTGAAGGTCAAGCATGAGAGTGCAAAAGAATTATTACAGAATACGCATGACCTCCATGCAGAGGCGTCCTTTTAGTCGAGGCGTCAACCTCATGAAGAGAGAGACTGGGGAGCAGCAGGTACAAATCCCTCCAGCCAGAAGGTCACTGATAGGTTCAAAGCACTGAAGAAAGGCTGGGGAAAACGGGAAGAGTAGAGTGGAGATGTGAGATTGGAAAGACAGACAGGACACGGTCAGGTGGAGCCCTGCAGACCCGATCAAGTGGTTGGCTCTGTATCTTAAGGGCAAGGAGGACCCAGTCAAAAGCTTTACGCAGGAGACTGACATAATTACATGTGTCATTTTAAAAGATCCCCCTAGCCAATGTGTGAAGGACATTGTGATTGGAAAGGCCAGGACTACAGGCTAGAAACCCAGCTTTCATGGGCATTATAGTGGTCCAGGCCAGTGGACCAGCGCAGGGCAGCAGAAGCAGAAAGAAATGGATGGATCCCAGGTATACTTGTATTGTTTCCCTCTTCCCCCTTCTCCACCTGACACTAGACGTATCTTCTGATGTTTACAGCCCCAACAACCACCCGTCGCCCAACCACCCGTCGCCCAACCACCCGTCGCCCAACCACCCGTCGCCCAACCACCACCACTGCTATGACAACCACCACAGCTGTGCTCCCAACAACATTTGTGACTACACCTGACCTTACCACCAGAACACCTCTTGAGACAAAAACCACCACTGCCCTCACAACGGCAACCACTTGCCCTCTGACAACGCTTCCCGAGGAAACCACAATTCTTCTGACCACTGAGCCTTCCACAAAAAGGCCCACCCTCACTACAGGTACTGAGACAATGGCCATACTTGCCCTTCTGCTGGTCAGGTGGATGTTGGTCCCTCAGAATAGAGTTCTACTGAATGGGCAGCCCAGTGTGCCTGTGTGTGTGTGTGTGTGTGTGTGTGTGTGTGTTAGTTTTCTAGGACCGTCATAATAAATACTACAGACTGGGTGACTTGAACAACAGAAGTGGTTTTCTCACAATTCTGGAGGCTGCAAATCCGAGATCAGGGTGTCAGCAGGGTTGGTTTCTCCTGAGGCCTCTCTGCTTGGCTTGTAGATGGCCATCTTCTCGCTGTGTCCTCACATGGTCTTTCCCCTACTGTATCTGTGTCCTAATCTTCTTAGAAGGACACCAGTCATATTGGGTTAGGGCCAATCCTAATGACCTTAGTTACCTCTCTAAAGGCTCTGTTTTCAAATATAGTCACATTTCGAGTTACTAGGGGTTAGGGCTTCGACATATAAATTGGGGTGTGTGTGTGTGCATGTGTGTGTGTGTGGGGGGTGTGGTTTCACTAAACTGTTCCTTTTCTTTGTTTTATGGTTTCCTTTTTTTTCCTGGTTTTTTTTTTTCTTTGTGTTTTTGAAAAGTCAGCATTTTTGCTTCTCCAGTTGACCCCCAGGACTCCTGGAGATGTTGACTGAAGAACCAGGAAATGTCACCCCAGGTCAGACTCTAGTTCCATCCTGCCAAGGGTTAAGTCTGCCTGAGCATTAGGCATTAGTAGAGAAAAGGCCTCCAGAGGCCTTATAATATTTTTTGACAATGAACTGGTTCTACCCTCTTTCTTTTTTCTTCTTCTTTTTATTTTTATTTTTTGTTTTTGTTCTTCTGAATCCTTCTTGATCCTGCACCTTGGACCTCTCACTGAGTTATTAGCTCCATTACTTACGGAGGCTTATTAGAACTCTGACCATGTTTCAACCTCCGATTCTGAGGAAAAGATTATTAGAAAACAATCATGAGATAGATAGCTTGAAGGCTTTCTTCGGCATTTCATCTGCCTCAATAAAGCCTGGATAATTTAAATAGCTTTACAATATTCAATTGGCTAGTTCTGTTATACTCTGAGTGGTCACCTAAAATCCATGAACCCTAAACCAATAAAGTTTATATGTATTTTTAACTCCTTTTGCCTTAAAATAATCATCTTAAAATAGAACATTTGTAGTTTTTTTTCCTCTAGATTCTAAAAATTACTTGCAATCTTTGAAGGAAACCTGAAATATATAGAAAAGCACAAAACAGCTACAAAAATAGTCCCAAAACTCACCACTCAGCACAAACCCTTACTTTTTAGCTTCCTTTTATCAAACTTTGTTTCTCTTCCAGAATTAGAAACTTTCCATTTCTCTAGTAACTCTCAGACAAGCACCGAGGTGACTTCTGAAGACACTGCCTTACTCACGTCCAAAGGTATGTGAACAAGTTCCCTCTTCTTTCCTTACCTCTTAGATGAAGGAGAAGAAAACGCTGACTAGAGTGTCATTGAGTCAGATGAATAGGGATGACTTCTGGACCTTGTGTGCCATGCAGTTCACCTGGGACAAACTGATGTCAAGGCGGCATTTGTGGCTTTTTCTTTCCTGTGGATGAGAGACAGAGACAGAGATATTTTGATTTGTTTGTGCAATTCTCCATGACAGCACGTGTCTAGAAATTTGCCTTTCCACCCTACGCTAAGTGGTGCTGAGCTGTTTCATCTGGGTCCCAAGCACACCAGTCCTTTTTGTTGAAACCCGAGAGGTGTACTCACTTGATTGGTTGGCTTTTTATAGTGGAAGGAGAATCCTTTCATTCATTTGTCCTTTCATCCATCTGTCAAACCTTCTTTAGCTATTTACTAGGGCCCAGGGGGCAGAGAATACCATGAAAAGAAGACATGATTCATCTCTCTGGGTGCTAGGAGGACTGCCTGGGCTTGACTCCCAGTGCTACTATCTTTGGCTAGGGGTTTCTAGCCTCGGTTTACTCCCAGCTTTGTTGTGGAGTTGTGTAACTTCATGCATATGAAGCACTTAGATGAATGCCTGGCACATTAGTACACACTCAGATGTTGCCTTGACGGGGCTTATTACCAAGCAGAGGAAAACAGACATCTGTGGGGTAAAGAAACCAAGGCTTGTGATAATACAATGGAGGGGAGGGGCAGCATGGTAGAGTGCTTCATGTGTGTGCTCTAGTGTCACATTGTCTAGGTACAAAGCCTGCCTCTTACCTGCTGTGTGACTTTGGAAAAGTTACTTAATCTCTCTGGGGCTTGATTTCCTCACTGGTGAAATGAGAAAAACACCTTTCCTAGATGTCTCTTTCTGAGGATTAAATGAGAGAATGCATGTATATCACTTAGAACAGTGTCTGGCATGTACTAAATGTTCAGTAAACATTAGTTCTTTATTTTATTTATTTTTTTTTGACAGATGTCAGTTTAGGTCACAGAGGGGCATCAAAAATAGGAAGACACTCATTTACCTAAGTTTGTTTTCTCTTTTCCTTTGTTTTTTCCAGAGTCCACAACTTGGGTTTTCCAGTCAACATCCAAGGTACCGATATGGGAAATAAATAACTCCAGGACTTCTCTTCATGTGAGTGGTTTTGTCTTTGGCCGTGGGGACAATCTATTGCCTGCCTGCTTGTCTTGGGATTCAGCTATTTTGGTTCCACTGTGGTCATATCCTACATCCTCCTGCTAGCTGGGATGAAAGTGAAACACACTAAAAGCATCTAAAAACACGCCAAGTGCTGGCTTCTTCTCTCTCCTGCCTCCTTTCTGAACCCCCACCTCCCTCAGCCACGTCTGGCTGGAAGCTAGGAATGCTAGCAGGAGAATCACCTGCTCATCTTTCAAAATATCACAAATTTATTTTAAATTACACCTAGGTTATACTAATCTATTTTTCTGAGGGATACATAAGAAAAGAAGTCAAGTTCTCTTTGACGCTCTCGCTTTAATTCCAGCCCCTCCTCTGAGGTCATCACTGCTATCACTTGAAGATAATCGTTCTTTTCCTATCCCTTTATGTGTGTGTACAGATGTGGAAATATACAGTTTTATTTTGTGTGTGGATGTTTAAAAAAATGCCATCATACTGTATGCAGCCTTCTGCATTTTGTTTTATTCACCTCACGTGATATGTTGGACCACTTTCTTCCTCCGCATCATTATGTTAAATTGCTGTGTAGTGTTTTGTACTGTGGATACTTATAGTATCCATCGCCCAACGAGAAGCACTTCAGTTGTGCCAATGCTTCATTATTGTAAATAGTCTGCAGTGAACATTCTTCATGTGAGTGCCTCCTTAGGCAAGTGTTTCTCTAGCGAGGGCGGTGACCAAGAAAGAGAAATGCTAGGCCGAAAGAAATGTGCACTTTTAAATTTAATAGCTGTTACAAAATAGTCTGCTGTAAAGTCCGTGCCAATTTATTTTCCCACCCACAGACTATCTGCTTTCCCATATCTTCCCTATACTCGGTGTGACCATTTGTTAAATTTTTTTTTTCAATCTCCTGAGAAGAAGGTGTCATCTGTTTCTTTTGTTGTTTTGATTAACAGAGACTTTGAGTGTCTTTCTATATGTTTATTAGCCAGAAAAGAGCCATCCTTTACCTCTGGGAAGCAGGCAGTGTAACATCACTCACAAAGGCTCAGAAGATGAAGTTGGAGGGAGCAGACAAGAGTGAGTGGAGCAGCGATAGGTTTTGAAGGAAGGCTATAAATCAGGATGAAATGCAAGGGGGATCTAATGTTGAAAAGCTTTGCAATACAGTAACTCATATGGGGGAAGACAGAAAGTCCGGACTAGCTGTTGGTAATTTAAGGGAAACGTGGCTCCAGAGATCCAAACCTTCTTTTTCGGTGGGATGGGCTAAGGGTGGGGACTATTTACTCTCAGAAGGGAAGGGAGCAGCTAGAAAAATGACAGATGGTGGGCAAGGAGTTTTCAAAATGCTATTCATGTCATTTAACTCTTGGGCCATTTTATATTGAATTGCAAGGGAACGAGAGGTCCTCTGATGTTTGATCCTCTTCTATAACATCCTCGATATTTCATTTCACGCCTCTTGATTAATCCTGGGAGAGAGACAACACTTGCTCCGATATCCAGAGGCTGTAGTGCTGAAGGGGAACTGGTTTTAAGAAGGTCTGTGAGTCTCCAGGTACCATGTACTCATTGTGGGAGAAACGAGGGTTTATTGAGCACATATTATGTGCTGGCACCATGCCAAGCTCATCTCACAGCCCACTTCATTCAATCCCTCTTTAGCAGATACTCCTATTCCTATTTTATGTAACTTCCCCAAGCCTACACTGCTCTCAGATGCCAGGCCCGGGAAGTCTAGCTCTGATGCCATGCTCTTAGATATTATTTTATTTTACCTTGCTTTGCAGTCTGAAATAAAAGATCACGTTCTTTCACTTACCATTCTCTCTTCCCACTGGTTTTGGTAATAAAACATTCATAACAATCATGGCAGTTACCATCGCCTAAGGACTTACCTATGTATTTAGGTGCTGTGCTAAGGACTTTTAACATGCATTTTCTTACTTAAATCTCACAATGACCATCTAGCCAGGTACAGATATGACCCCCGTTTTACAGATAAAGAAGCAGAGGCTCCGAGAGGTTTACTAAAGACGCTTACACCTCCCGAGGTCTATCTTTGTTTTAATGCTATCCATTTTCATGCATTGCCTCATTTGATGTTTTTCACAAAACCCTAGGAGATAGACACCATTATTGCCTCCATTTAAGAGTTCATGAAGGTTATATATCTTGTCTGGGAAATGGCGGACCTGGATTTAGCCCATGTCTGCTGCACTCTGACGACACCCTAGCACCATGCTTTGCCACATCCCCTGATTTTCCCTCTGGAGGCTCTTATAGAGTAAGACAACTTCTTCATTTACGTCAAAGTGCTTCCAGCCCATTTCCCAGGACCTGCATGCCTCTGTGGGGTTTTCTTTCCCTGGCTAAACATCCCCAATTGCATTCGCATTTCTTTGTATGGCTTTTGAAGAGTAAGGCTTCTTCCTTGGTTGAGGACTGGTTTAAATCATGAAAGCGGGTCTTGTCAAAATGAGCATTCCCTAAAATTAGCATTACCCAGGGAGGCAGATTCTCACCTCCACCTCTATGGCTGCCTAGCATTGAGTTCAGGGACATTGGCTGATTTTCCCAAGATCACACAGCTCGAAACACAAACAATAACAACCCTCATAGGTTCTCCCTCCAGCAGCGAAAGGAACTCTGTTAGGGGAATACAAGCTCTTGACTCCTCCAGGTACCTAGACATTTAAATCATTCCATCTAGCCTGAGGGTTAATTCATTTCTTGCTTGGCAGCAGGAATGTGTGAAATGGTTCCAAACTGCTCCCTAAAGACCCAGTCTCCGTTAGGCAGGGACTCTGAAGCCAGAGCAAGCGGAGCCACATGACTATGTCATTTTTTAAATAAAATCAGGTGGCCTGGGAGTAAGTCCTCTGTTGATTATGCCTCAGGCTCACTTTTACCTCCTCAATAATATCCCAAGTCCTTTCTTTCTTGTCCTTTCTTCTCACAATCTCCTGGGTAGCATTGGGTGTGTGTGTTGGGAGGTGGGGGTGGTGTAAATGAGCTCCGCTGGGGAGTCCGAAGGCTCAGGGTTCTATCCCAGCTCTGCCATTTTGTGCTGTTCCCCCCCCCCCTTTTAGAATTTCAGGTGAGTGACTTGTTCTATTCTTTTCTAAATCTCAGTTTCCTCAAAATATAAAATCGAGATTGCAGTACTAGTTTCATAGGGCCATTAAGTGAGGAAATGCATGAGAAAAATGCCTAGTACATAATTACTGGCTAGTAAATGATAGTCATCATGATGGATTCCTGTTTCCTCTCTTCCATATATCTCGGCTGCTGTTCCTGCTCACACACTTTCATTTTTAGGCCAGTCCAGCAAGGTAACAAGAGGCCACTTCCAATAGCTCCCAGCTGACTTGCTGTTCCTTATAAGTACATAAATACTTTTTGGCTTTATGATTTTTTTTTTTAACTGCTAATCATACCAGGGAAACAGCTGATGAGTGACAAAATCACAAACTTGAGGAAGTTACACAACCTTTTAACATCTCATGGTAGTAATTCTCTACTCCCTATTAGAGTAAATCTGAGATTCTGAAAGCTTTTCACTGATTCCTTTTTAGATGGCTCTACAGACCTCTCAGTTTATTGGTTTTATTCCTGTGGGTGGACATCTTTAATCTTCCGCTGCCTCTCACTTCTTTCGTCCTTTTCACATTGCTCAATTTATGACGGCTTCACTATAATTTAGGCTTAGAAATGGCTTAGTTATGGCTGAAAAAGAGCTGTGGTCTAGTTTGCCATGCAAGGGCTTCCAGATGTGTGTTATTTGTTTAATAAGACACTTCCAAGAACATATCTCCTACTTCTGTGCTCTCCTCCACTTGTAAGGTGTTAGGTCTGCAAGGCATCATCTTAAGAAGCCCCACCCAGGGGGACACATGTTCACTTCTCTATGGCTGCCTAGAATGGAGCTTGGGGATGTGGAGTGACTTTCCCAAGATCACACAGCT